AAAACTCGGTCGGCCGTGAATCGCAGTCGTTAACAATAAATGTTTAAATTAGAGGATATATTGAGCTATAAATTTATTAAAAAAGTGTGAATTATTCTAATTGATAGTATTTTTAACAAAATTATAATGAAATAACGTGGTTTTTGTTTGAAATTCCTGTAAAATATAGTGTTTTTGCACTTCTCTACAATGAGAGTGCACCGCTGTTGCTCTTGCATTCGTTTGTGTGTTTTATGAGAGAAAAAGCTGTCGTGTTGTAGTTGTTGATTGCGTCGGTATTTGCTATGCGTTTTAAGAGTGATCGATAAAGTGGTTGGTTAAAATCATTTGAACAAAATTGTGCGTTCAAGTAAATGTACAAGCTTGTGTCAAAAATTTTTGGTGGAATGTTTTTTGTCATTCTATTTATTCTGTTCGTGTTAAATAGTGTTAAAGATAAATCAAAGTGCATTCTCATTTGGTTTGATTCAATGGGGTTTCCTGTTATTCTAATTAGATATATTCAGCAAAGGGGAGAGAAGGCGAGATAAAATAATGGTGAGTTTTAAAAGACCAGAAAAAGTATTTTGTATTTGTAATTCTTCTAAATATAAAAATTATATTGAAGAAAAATAGTTTAAAAATCAGATTTTTATAAAGAAATTCCCATGAAGTATCAATCTTCACAACGCAGTGTTTCCAAATTATTGGAAAATTTAGACGCGACCTTAGGAGGCAATATTTTTTAGTTACTTAGGGAAAAGGTGCGTACATTTTGCTAAAGGGTGATTTTTAAGAGTAATAGGAATGTAAACAAAAAATACATACAATTCAGAAATATGCACGAAATCTTTATTTGAATTGATATAATTCTCTTCATAACTGTTCTTTTTTATTATTATTTTTTTTTGGAAATACAAATGTCTCAATAAAATAAATCTATGACTATATTATACAATGTGGTGAAGTTGGTCAAAATAATAAATCTGTTCGTAAAAAAGGCAGCTATTAACAAATATAATAAATATTAAGGGCCTGTGCATCAAAATTTCCTTTAAGTCAAAATTAAACCTCAACTTATAGAGTTTTTACTCGTTAGCTTTCTTTTCGGGTTTTTCTTAACCATCGAAAAACACGTCACAATACAGAAATTTCTTAACGATTGACAACACTGTTACTCCTAATTGCTTCCTCCTTTAGTTGTCAACGAACATAAAACTCGGTCGGTCGTGAATCGCAGTCGTTAACAATAAATGTTTAAATTAGAGGATATATTGAGCAATAAATTTATTAAAAAGTGTGAATTATTGTAATTGATCGTATTTATAGCAAAATTATAATGAAATAAAGCGGGTTTCCCATAAAATTCGGTTAGAATAAAGTGTTTTTATATTTCTCTACAATGAGAGTGCATGGCTGTTGCTCTTGCATTCGTTCGTGTGTTTCGTGTGAGAAAAGCTGTCAACTTGTAGTTGTTGTTGCTTTACTTTTTAAGAGTGATCGTTACGTGGTTGCTTAAATGATGGAATAAAATTGTGCGTTAAAGTAAATGGTGGAACTTGTGGCAAATATTTTTGGCCGAATGTTCTTTTTACCATTCGGGTGCGTGTTGTTGCTATTTGATTAAATAGTGTAAAAGATAAATCAAAGTGCATTGTCTTTTGTTCTTATTCTATTGTTTTTGTGTCTTTACTATTGGATATCTTCAGCAATAGGGGGAGGAGGCGAGAGAACATAATGAGGTGGTTAACACGGTGAGTTTTACAGGACCAGAGAACATAATTTTTATTTTATTTGTTCTTTGTTATTCTTCTTTACATTAAAAAGATATATAAGATTATAGATATGTATTAAATAGTAAAGTGTAATTTTTCAAGAGTTATAGGCAAGTTAAAAAACATAAAATTTAGAAAAATGTATGAATGAATAAATTATTTGAATTAATTGTACCGCCTATATAATTTAATGTTTGTAGATAATTTAATGCAAATTTTGACCGCTATTGCGCCTCGAATGTTCCGTACGGTTACTCCAATGTTGGCATACCCTTAACATACTTACATTACGACCGGTATCTCACCATAAATGCTTCCAAAGCGTCAAATGAGGAGTGGGCTTATCTGTATAGCCATATACTTTAGCATAGCCCCACAAAAATAGTGTAAAGGTGTTAAATCGTGCGATTCAGGCAGCTAATTGAGCGGTGCCGAACATGAAATAAATTGTTCACCGAAGTTGCCTCAATGAGTCCACTGTTATGTGTGACATGTGACACAGTCTCGTTGAAACCACATGCCATGCAAGTCAAGCTTTTGCATTTTGGGCAGAAAAAGTTGGATTTAATTTCACAGTAGCTCCTACTATTCTACAGTTTCGTTACGATTCGCAGAATCTTTGAAGAAGAACAGTCCAATGATGCCACCAGCTCATAATCCGCACCAAACTGTCACTTTTTCTGTATGCAATGAGCCAAATGAGGTTCGTCGCTGAACACAATTTTTCGATAAACAAGTGAAAAGGGCTTTAAGTTCGGCCTACCTCCCTCCCTCCCTCCATACCATATATACCAGTATAATTAAATTAAAACAAGTTAAAAACTATCGGTCGATTTTTCTGACAGATAGGTCATACATCTGTCAGAAAAATCGACTGATAGTTTTTAACTTGTTTTAATTTAATTATACTGGTATATATGGTATGGTGGGAGGGAGGGAGGTAGGCCGAACTTAAAGCCCTTTTCACAGCCAATGTTTGATTATATAAATATATTTTGGCTTCTGTTATTATTATTCAAATTGTTGGCAATCTAAGGAGTCGGTTCCGAAGGAATTGGACAGAATTGTCCATTTCATATCGAACCTAAATAAATATGATATAAATATTGCGACGTGTCAACTTGTAAATAATCGTTGACTCGGCATTGTGACTCTTTGAGAGATAGGTACCAGAATGGGTTCGCAGTCTTGTTTTTCAAAATTTTGCACCTTTCATGGGGGAGGTACCAGAAGAAATGATCCGATTCCTACCATCTTCATAACAGATCTTGTGTTGATGGAAATATTGAGATGTACTAAGTCCGAATGGAATCGGACGTTCAATTTGCGTTTAATAAGCTTCATAGATAGTTAACGCTTTATGGGGAGGTACAATAAGGGGTAGACCGATATATCCCATCTTCACAGCATATCTTGTGTTAGTAGAAATAACGAGATATGTTAAACATGAAGAGAACCGGATGCTTATTTCGGATTTTATAATCATTTTGGTTATTCAACTTTGACCATTTGTGGGGGTGGTACCAGAAGGAACGGTCCGATCTTTACCATCTTTATAACAGATCTTTTGTTGAAAGAAATATTGAGATGTGCTAATTCTGAATGAAATCGGATGTAAATTTCGAGCTTTATGAGCTTCACGGACATTTAAAATATTGACACTTTGTTGGGGAGGTATCAAAAGGAGTGGACTGATATATTCCATCTTCACACCAGACCTTGGGTTAATAAAAATATTGTGGTGTGTGAAATTTGAAGATAATCGGACTCTTACATCACATTTTGAAAATTTTGACTTTTGTGGGGGAGGTACCAGAAGTGGTGGACACATATTGCCCATCTCCGAACTCAATCTGGTACTGCCTTAAACAGTTATCGTGCACACCAGACAGACAGAAGGACGAACGGACATCGTTAGATCGATGATGCACGTTTTGTATCAAATGATAGATACCCTTTCTATCCATATGGCTGAGAGTATAAAAATAACAAAAATAGCGAACCCCATATTGTCATCTACATTGGTTCAAAATTGTGGCAGAAACCTTCAAAATACCGTAAATTATGGAGGTACAGCTATATGGGCGCGGCATTTTTTTGCAAAGTGGGAACGGACCTACCGAGAACCCCAATTGTCAAGTTTAGGCTGGAAATTGTGACAGAATCCTTCAAAACACCGAAAATGGGAAGGTACCGTTATATGGGGGCTATACCAAACAGTGGACTTTTAGCGAATCTTTTTTGCAGGAAGAGAACTGACCAACCAAGAAATGTAAAGTCTCAGCTTATTTGGATGGAAATTGTGGCAGAAACTTTCAAAATACCGAAATTCTGTAGGTAATGTTATACCTAAATGTGGGCCCAAAAATTTTAGACATTGTACGGTGGATGGTATAAAAATTGGATCTTCGGCCAACTTTCCAAGAGCCCGTTGCGGTATGTCGTTCGGCACCAACTCCTACACTAGCTGTATTTTGAAAGGCTTCACACCTAAATCTTTCCTCAAAATTTATCACGTTGTCCTAAAATGTAAACTTGGTTTGAAATTTGGTCACAATAGCACATATAACCGCTTCAGTAGGTCGATTGAACTGATCATAAAATGGAGGATTGACTTTTTTAAATATTTTCATCATAAAATTCAATGATTTGCAAACATTGTTCGTTTGCAAAACGATTCATAGGTAAACGGTAGACCAAACTGAAAAAGTTTGACAGTGAAACAAAACACGAAATGTCAATGAACTGTTTAAACCAGGGTTGCCAAAAAGATAATAACTAAAAAATTACCTTTTTTTTGTGAAATACAGCTGAATTTGTAAATCTGAATTTAAAAACAAAAAAAAAAAAATATATATATATATAGAATGTGGAATGGAACCTCATAGATGTTCTAAAGCTTAATCTATCAAATAAAGTAAAAATTGTTTCGAAATTAAAAAAAATATTAGTTCACATTTTTAATATGAATTGGCATTCGGACCTCCTGTACCATATATCCAAGAGTGTATTACATACTTGCCCAGTGCCGACTTCAATGCTTTCCTTACTTCTTTTTATGGAAAAAATATTTGAAAATATTTGATATTTACTTTAAAAACAAATTTATTATTTATTAATTTATCAAAAATATTTAAGATTTGTACAAAAAGGTATTTGGCTAACTTAAAAAATAAACTGATCTACTTTTCTAAGAAAATGCAAATATAAATTAATAAAAAAAATACAAAAATATATAGTTGATGATGTTACTCCTCCAGTAAACCAAAACTGCATTCCACTAACCCAAATACTTAAATTGTATTAAAGGCTTACGATGGAAAACTTTGCGGAAACCTTTGTGCTGTACTGGTCGGACATTGACAAAGTTTTTGCCCTGTTCGTTTAAGATACCCCAAAATTTGGGTAGCTAAAAATGAAACGAAAAATAAACTCATTGCAATTATGAACTAAAATATTTTTGAGAAGAGCAAACTCACCTCTTTGAATGAAATGGGCAGAACATCGGAAAATACAATCCATGTCACGGATTCGGAACAGGGTGGTGTCGTCAACGAACCTTCATAGGTATAAAAATCTTCACGATTTATATTGCCCAGTAAGGAGGCCATGGAAATCAAATACATGGTATCACTGGTGGTATTGAAATTTTTGACATTTTCCAAATTATTGTAGATGACATTTAGCCCCGGATAGAAAACATTATCGGACTGCAAAAGAAAAGAAATTAAATACTCATATAATACAGAACCGAGTTTTTTAGTAGTAAAATCTTAAGAAAATTTTTGTGAGTTTTAAAAAAGTTCCCGTGAAGACAAATTTCAAAATATAATAGCAAAGACACGAACCACTTGCATTTTGTGCTGGTTAATTTTTTAATACTTTCATTTAACAGGAAAATTACATAATTTCCCGACGAGGACGAATAACCAGAGTATTGTTGGCGTTTGGGATACAGCATGGAAAATGCTGCCGACCCCACTGGTTGTTTGTCTTCGTCGGGAAATTGTGCAATTTTCTTGTTAAATTTATTTAGGAGAATATGTTTTATCCTTATATTGCTTGAAAATACGTTGATTAATCAAAAAAATAGTAAAAATCATTAATATTAAAAAAATATATTTTTCAATTAACCCCTTGTGCACCACCAAAAAATGCAAGCGGTTCCTTTCTTTACTATCAAATTTAAAAAATTTATCTTCACGGGCATGTTGAAAAATTATTAACTTTGTATAACCATTTAAAGCTTCAATCCAAGCATCTTGAATTTTTCATCTTTAATAAATTTTATTCGCAAGCATTTCTCAAAACACATTCTTAAATTTATATCAAAAATTCTTTAAAAATTACTCACCTTCACCACCTTAAACAGCACCGCCACAACAGCCAGACCATCTTCATATTGTCGTGCAATTTCCACACTAGAATATTTTGTATTCTTATGCACGATATGCATTTCGATATCGTAACGATTACCATTTACGATATGTTCCGATCCTTTGCGCGTCGGAGAACCCCAATGGAAATGAACTTGTTGCGCTTCGTAAATATCATCATCGAGCAGACCACCGCTTATGTAAGGTTTATCGCCCGACAACGTTGGCGGAATATCAAATTCCACTAATTAGGTGATAATTTTTTATTGAAAATAAATATTTAATAACAAATTGGGAAATATAATGGTTTGTGTTTTTCTTACCAGTATGCCCATTATTGTGCAATTTTACAGATTTCGATAAGGGTGTATCGTAAAAACCAAACTCCAGTGGAAATATTAAGATATCTATGGACTGAAAAATTAGAAAATTAGATTAATGGAATATTAAGAAATGAAAACTTAGCTGAGTCCAACAATTTGTACTAGAATAAGTTTTATCGGTCTTAAGTTCAGACGTGCCTATGTTTTTACATTGATATTTTTAATACACCAAAATTCTTTGGAAATTGGGGCCGAAAATTTCGAAATACCGAATATCAGAATAAAGAGACCATCTGCTTTACTGCAATGTCTGATCTGATTTTGGGCGAACGATGGAACTAGAAAATTGTACTTCTGGCCAGGGTACAATGAATTCAAGGTAGGGCAGAAGTACCATATGATTTAATTTTTTTTATTTTTCTGGCTTAATATGTCAACTTCATTTGCTTATGTGTGTGTCTTCTTTTTAATAATAAAAAACTGTTTAGAAAATATTCAAATTCGGGTGTTTTCAAAATGCTTATTGCAACGAATGCATCGACAAAATCTACAGTCTTTGTCGCGAAATAAACCATAAGAGATATATAGAACATGATGTTGAAAAGAAATTTTGACCGTTCATTCGGTTTTCGCGGTTTTAAATTATTTATTCAAAATCAATGCAACAAGTTGTTTGCTTTTTTATTGTTTTGATAGTAATTCTGACATTACAAGCCAAACAGGTAGACCTCTATACTTGCAATTTTTTCAAAGTTGACCTACCTTCTCTTCATTGTACCATGCTTCTGGCTGTATTTCATCCCGAATGCTTCGGGTCCCTGAGCTAGGTCAGTAAAGAGTACTGAAGCACTTTTATTCGATTTCCTTGCAAAATCCCCATTTTTTATCAACGATATCTAAACATATTCATGGTACAATGATATCAAGATAACCTCATTTCAAATAATCTTTCCCAGCTCTGTATTTTTTGTAATTTACATTGTCAAATTTAGCTACATAGGTTTCCATCTCTGATTTGTGTATAAGCAATAGATTTATTAATGAATATTTTGACATTGAGATGTTGTCAAAAGTATAATTTTGAAAAAAAGAAAAATAATAATAAACTTATGATTGCATAACTTTACCTTCATAGTTCTACAATGAAAATACTGATGGGATCTTGGTAGAAAAATAGGTATTTTTGGAAGGTAGAGAGGTTTTTCTCTCGACATTTTTTAACACACCGAAGTAATGGTCGTAAGTTAAAATTCATGCCTCGACATATTTAGCCTATCCAACTATGTGTGTTCGTACAAATTTGTAGGATGACTACGAATTTTGGGTGGAGATCACACGAAATTGGTCAATAATTTTTATGTGCAACTTTGCATATCTTTGTTATTCTGAGAATCTCGTGATATTATGTGAAATAAGTTTCCGATTTTTATCTAACTAAGAACATTATCATATTTTTACGTGCGTTGTAGTTACTGTGAAATTGTCGTAGAGCTAGCGGTTTACTCCATAAACGGAACATTGAAACGGAAAATTGGCTAAAACCATCCAATACCGAGGGAGAGAGATTGAAATGCCGTTGTATTGTTGTCATAGAAAAATGTTGACCTATTAAGACAATATTCTACCAAAGATGACTAGAAGTTCATAATTTCCGTACCGTTTGTAAATGTGGTAGTACAGTTATAGAGGACTTATATGTAAACGTAGACCTGTATAGATAATCACAGACAAAACCAATTACAAATTCTGAATTTGAAACAATTAATAAACTGCCGATTTACATGAAACACGGAAAATAAAACTAATACCTCAAATAACCCCGTTTCGGTAAACATTTCTAGATTAGATAGCAATTCTGAAAAATAAATATTTCAGCCAATCAGAAACTGACAACCATGTTAAAACTAGTTCAATATAAAATTACACTGCATATTGTTTTTCAAAGTTTCGAAAAGAGCCATCAAATCCTTGCAAGTTCTCATTTTAATTGTGGGGGGATATTTTCTTCAGGAGCTGTTTAAGAAAAACTCCTTTAAAAAAGTTTCAATGCTTAAAAAGCGCGAGTTTTGCAAAAAATAATATTCCACAATTATGTAGTAGCAAATCTGTGCACTACTAACAAATAAAACAAAATATATGACAAAACCTAAAAAAGTTCTTGCCTTCCATTGAAAAACAAGCAAATCATACTTGCTCTTATATATGAAGGGCTCACAGCTATACCGAACTAAGTCATAAAAACATAATTCGAAGATATTTAGAGATAAAGTAAATGCACTGCCATTATATTCTGGAAGGAATATGGTAGTCTACCAAAAGAAAATGTAAAAGTCTATATTCAAAATTAACTAATGATATAAAGTTAAAAGAAAAATAATTTAAATATATTACTAAAAAAATATTCAAAAACAAAAAACCTGCTTTGGTTCGTTATTACTCTGAATAAAATTTGAAGGTTTTACAGCTAAAGCGAACCAAGTCAAAAAAAAAAAAAGTTTTCGTTACATGACTAAATATAGTTGTCATTAGCGATTAATTTCCCGCTAGTTTCGGAGTTTTATTTTAAGTCATCTCTTGCTTTGGCGGCTGGCAGCTGCGGGTGCTTCTATTGTAATTGACAACCATTGTGATTTTTTAGGAAAATAAAATAAATTCTTTTTTTTTTAATAAATTAATGTTAACAAGGACAAAGGAAAATTTAAGGTTTCAACAATGGTAGAAATAAGGAGGTAATGTCATTTTTATACCCTCCACCATAGTATGGAAGGCATATTACGTCTGTTATTCCGTTTGTAACACCTCAAAATATCCCTTTTAGACCCCACAAAGTATATATATTCTTGATCAGCTTAAAATTCTACGTCGATTTAGCGATGTCCGTCCATCTGGACGTCTGTGGAAATTCTCTAACTTCCGAACGAATTGAAGTAGATTGATAAAATTTTGCTCAAATGTATGTTATGTCTGCAGGACTTTTGGTATTGAAAATGGGCCATGTAGGTCCACGTCTTCGTATAGCCCCCATATAACGGTACCTCCCGATATTCGGTATTTAGATAATTTTAGCGACATTATTCACCGGAATAGTTTCAAATTTGGTATTTGAAGTTCGTAGTGGATACTACAGCCTAAGACGGAAATTTGTCTGTGCAGGTCCACGTCTTTGTAGAGCCCCCATATAACGGTACCTCCCGATATTTGGTATTTTAATGATTTTATGAACATTTTCACCAGAATTGATTCAAATTTTGTATTTGAAGTTCGTAATTGGTAATACAGCCTATGACAGAAAATTGTCTGTGCAGGTCCACGTGTTCGTATAGCCCCCATATAATCGTACCTCCCGGTATTCGTTATTTTGATGATTTTAGCGACGTAATTCATCGGAATTGATTTAGATTTGGTTTTTCAAGTTAGTAGCGGATACTACAGCCTATGGCAGAAAATTGTCTTTGCAGGTCCACGTCTTCGTATAGCCCCTATATAACGGAACCTCCCGATATTCGGTATTTTGTGGATATTAGCTACATTTTTCACCTTTCTTTTAAGTTTCGCATTTGAATATTGTAATGGCTTATGACAAAAGTTACCTATGCAAGTCCATGTCGTCGTATGGACCCTAATATAACAGCTACAATTGGTATTTTTAAGACTTTAACAGAATTTTTAACGGATTTTATTGTTTTTGAGAATGCTGTATTTTCATTAGTCTGTGCTGAGTCGAGTCGAATTCGAGGGAGATTTACTCTCTACTCGAATTCGGGCAAGCATTTTGGAGCTCTGGTCGTAACTATAGCTTGAATTTTAGCTGTTATGTTTTTTGGCGATAGTGGCTTAAACAGTTCACTTACGTTTTGTGTGTTTTGTTTAACATCTTCTGTTAACCATGAGTCGTCTAAAAATCGAACAACGCTTGCAAACTTAAATATCAAAATGCAGAAGTGTCGATTTTGGAGTGAAGATCAGCCAGAAGCATTGCCAAGTCTACCAATGCTTCCAGAATAAGTCACAATTTGGTGCGATTTATAAGCTGGTGGCATAATTGAACCGCACTTCGAGAATGGTGAGCTCTACAGTGATGTTATATCCAACTTTTTTGAGCAAAATGGTAGAGCTTGACTTGCATAACATGTGACATCAACAAGACGGTGATTTGCGTAACAATGGACTTATTAACAGGCGAGTTCTGTCAACATTTCGAGCGATTTGACGCCTTTAAACAAATGTTGTGTCCTAAGTTTAATGCCATGTCTAAAAAACGAACCCGCTTTAATTAATGCACTAGAATGCAATATTAAAGCATTTGTTTGTGAGATGGCGGCTGAAATGTTGGAAAGAGTATACCAAAATCAGATTAATCGGATGTGGCATTTGATACCATGAAATTATGTGGCCCGTACTATCAATTCTAAGGAATCTAAGGGGTATATGTCTATATGAAAAATGGTATTGGTAAGGGTAATGGGAGTTTTTTCGGGGAATTACTTGTTCAGAATGTTTATTAACAAAATTTGGCAAAAATTTTGTAATGGGCGGACCTCTTAAGGGAATTCATCAGAGATTGGTCCATATGGCCATTTGACATTGTGTATTTTCTGAAAGCACTGTGTGAGACCTTTTGGACAATGAAAATTTTTTAGAGTAGTGGAGCTACCTAGCAAATGCTTCCATTACCAAATAATGAGTTTTCTGAACAATTTTTGACAGAAGTAACCATTTTTAAATCAAGGGCATGTCGTTGGTAATAAGTAGTTATACTTTGGCTTCTGCGTAAAAAACACATGTGCTTTTTACAATTAATATTCCATTTTATGGCAATCAATGTTTTACGTTGTTCGATGCTGGACTTGAACTCCAAATCTTCTGTTTTGTGGAGAAACGATTTTAAATGTTAAATGCTGAAAATTAATGAGTTCTTATCGTGTACAGAAATATGGTATGACAAAAACAAAAGTGTGTTCTGCAAGAGTAAAACCTGATCGATTGCTATAGATTTTTGCTCCCACTCAAAAATGAGGAAAACATGCTCACTTCTATTCGAGCGACATCGAAAAATTTATTATGCTCAATTTTTTTTCTGCAACCAGGAGAGCTTTCGGCCGAATACGAGTGATTTTCACTCCTTTTTTAAAGTTGAGTGAGTTTTTCTGATGTCTGTATAAAACAGGGGCTTCACGATTTGCTGCAGTCTTTGCTATCTAAGACCGAAAGATACCTACTCTCTATTAAAGTCCGAGAAGATATAACGTGACCTGGAAACCCAAGTCTAAGGTCTGGAAGCGAAGTTAGAGCACCAGAGTAAGAAATTGGAAGATAAGGTGTCAGAAATCGAGAGCTCGGAGGTAATGAGTAGAAAGCCACATTTGAAAAAAATGCGCAGCCAGTGCGCATTCTACTTTATTTTTGTTGTTTTTTTTATCATAATTTTCAGTCAGTCGAGCCAGATAGGTTTGGAATCATACTCATTTTCAGTTTCTTTGCTTATATTACCATTCCTTTCTTTATAATGGGGTTTCGGCTCAAACACAACCCCCAAGTTTTTAATGGGTTGTTGTAACAAAACAAAACCAACAATTATGTTTTCTTTGCTGAGCTACCAAATTTCTCAAAAATTTCTTACATAAATAAAACATTTTTTAACTGGACTTTTTCTTAAAAAGTTAAGTTATTACCATAAAGTACCCATTTAGCAGAGTAGCTTATTGCCGTTTTGCACACAACAATATATACAACATTATTCGTTTTTTTTTTCTCTCAACTTGTTTTGCTTACCTTTGGTGTCGATATAATGATGGGTGATTGCCTAAAGCCGGCACATTGTGGGAACTGGGTATACCATTTCTCTGGCTCGTCATAGTTGAAATGATCTGCAAATAAAAAAGGTAAGCGGATGGATTAACGTTTGACGTTTTATGCTCCAATTTCATGCGCACAAGTTTCGCAGAAAACTTCAAAAAAATAAAATCAAAACAAAAGATTAATAATAATATGAATTTAAAAAAAAACAACAATAACATCATCCGCAACAACAATAACGGCAGCAACAACGCCAACAATTAAGAATTACATCGGAGATTATTATTATGTATGTATTTTGTTTACTTTGCTTTGATTGCAACAATAGTTTGCACATAATTCCATTTTATGGCAAGTCATGTCAGATGCCTAAACGCTTGCATGATAATTTTGATCGTGATAAACTGTTTGTGTGTGTGGCAGGTCTCCGGGAGCTACTGTCATTCATGGTGTTAGTTTTTTTGGTTTTTTTTTTCCCTTAAAATCTAATGTTTCTGGACAGACAATCTCTGTGCGCGATCTGCATATGATGGCATTGCATGGCATGCGGTGTTTTTTTGTTGGCAATTTCTTAACCGGCTTGTTTTCGCAGGAAAAAGTAGTGAAACAATTTCAAATGTTTGTCTTCGACTAAATACATATTTGGAAGTTGGATGCTTTAGTTTTATTGTGGAAATAAAATTTGTGGTGGCAAAAAAAAAAAAAAATGGCAAAAAATGCAAAAAAACACAAATTGGATTTTAAGCGTTTAACCGTTTGTTTAACTGCTTCTTTAAGCAAATACGCAATGTAAGGTATTTCAGAGAGTCAGCCATGTAGACCAAGAGCTATAAAGACTTGAATGGGTAAATTTTTCAACTACAGAAAAATGTGAACTTTTATTTACAATAGTCGAATTTTTTTTATCGAAGGATACAGAATTCACATTTGTGCGTGCATTATGAGCACAATTTTTAATTTTGACCCAAATTTTAAAAGTACTTTCCTATTTTTTAGCAGCGTGAAATTTTCATATTTTTATCTTTTATGTATTTTTTTTATATCCTCCACCATAGTATGGAGGGTATATTATGTTTGTCATTCCGTTTGAAACACCTCGAAATATACATTTAAGACCCCACAAAGTATATATATTCTTGATCAGCATAAAATTCTATGTCGATTTAGCAATGGCCGTCCGTCCGTCTGTGAAAATAACTCTAGCTTCCGAGTGTTCTGTTCTGTGATTTAGCTTAAGTTTAACTGTGATTCATATTTTATTGATTATTTATTATACCCTCCACCTTGGAAAGGAGGGTATATTAACTTTGTCATTCCGTTTGTAACATCCTTAAATATTCGTCGTAGACCCCATAAAGTATATATATTCATAATCAGCATGAAATTCTAAGTTGATTTAACGATGTCCGTCTGTCTGCCCGTCTGTCTGTTGAAATCACGATACAGCCCATATTATTTGACGTCGAGCGCCAAAATTTAGCAGAGCAATTTGTATTGTGTCTAGGATGGTTGGTATTTAAAATGAGATGTATCGGTCGAAGTTCTGGTATAGTCCCCATATAACGGTTCCTCCCGATATTCGGTATTTTGATGATTTATGCCACATTTTTTCACTGATTTGTTTGAAAATTGGTATTTGTTGGTCATAACGGGTCCCTGTACGTGTGCCAAAACATGGCATGTATAGGTCCACGTTTTGGTATAGCCCCCATATAAAGGCACCTCCCGATATTCGGTATTTTGCCACATTTTTTCACGGTTTTGTCTAAAAATTGGTATTTGTTGGTCATAATAGGTTCCAGCTCCGGTGGCGAAACATTGCATGTATGGATCCACGATTTGGTATAGTCCCCATATAACGGTACCTCCCAATATTCGGTATTTTGGTGATATTTGACACATTTTTTCACGAATTTCTCTGAAAACTGATAGTTGTAGATCATAATGGGTTCCAGTTCGTGCAGCGAGTCATTGAAATTATAGGTCCACGTTTTGGTGTAGCCCCCATATAATGGTACCTCCCGATATTCGGCAATTTGATGATTTTTGCCACATTTTTACACGGATTTGTCTGAAAATTGGTATTTCTAGGTCATTATGGGTTCTAGCTCCTTTGACGAAACTTTGCATATCGGTACCTCCCGATATTCGTCATTTTAATGGTTTTTGCCACGTTTCTTCTAATGTTTCCTTTACTCTAAGGTGGAGGGTATTAAAAGTTTGGCCCGCCGAACTTAATGTTTTTTTACTTGTTTTTACTTTTATATTAATTAAATGTTGTGGAGTCCCGTTTTATTAAAATTAAAAAGTAATAAATAATGCATAATTATTGATAATTCAATAAAAAACGCTCTTGAAAAAGTTGGAAACAAGCCAACGAAACGTTAAGCAGAACATGAAATAAATTCGTTTATTTTTATTGAATTAACTTGACCATAAAAGCCCAATAAACCCATATCGAAATAAAGTAGGTTGATAAAATTTTAATGAAACGTGTATTATGTCTGCAGGATTTTTGGTATTGAAAATGGGCCATATAGGGCCACGTCTTCGAATAGCCTCCATATAACGTTACCTCCCGATATTCGGTATTTTTATGATTTTAGCGACATTATTTACCGGAATTGTTTCACATTTTGTTTTTGAAGTTCGTAATGGATACTACAGCCTATGCCAGAAAATTGTCTGTGCAGGTCCACGTTTTACAGCCCCCATGGTGCCTCCTTATATTCGGTAATTTGATGATTTTAGCGACATTATAAACTGTTTTTTTTTAAGTTTCGCATTTGAATATTGTAATAGCTTGTGAAAAAAGTTGCCTATGCAGGTCCACATCGGCTACATTCGCTATTTTTAAGATTTTAACAGAATTTTTAAAGGATTTTATTTTTTTGAAAATTGCCAAATTTTGTACCAAATGGTGTTCAAAGTTCGGCCCGGCCGAACTTACAGCTTTTTTACTTGTTATTCTAAACTTTGTGGGAAAATGCACATAATCAAACGATTTAAGGAAAATGTACTGAAAATATGTGTATTGCTGGAAATTCTTGATGATTAAGCATGCCACAATATAACACGGCTTACATGACCGAAATAATCAAGATATGGCCTTACACCCGCATATTTGTTACAACCTTTCAAATAAATTACACTCTTTTCACAATCAGAGATGACACCAACCATGAAATGCATATAACTTACATGATGTAATTTAGTTTTGGGTGTAACCTTATCAAGATTTACTTAACCTTGCTGCAATTTCATTTCCCCCTTTTATCATTTGAGCGTTTGTCCCAATTGCCCAATTTAACCAGTGGCAAAGAAACGTTATTCTACAAAAGATACTATTTGAAACAAGGCTTTCGTTCAAGTTATTCTGAGTTTGTGCTTTTATGTCAAGTGTACTTTTTATATTATAGGTTTGATTGGGCCAAAAATTATGTAAAACCTCGAAATATTGGTCCCCCACATATATATGGATTTTCCTATCTCGCCGAGCTGAGTCGATCTAGCTATGTATGTCCGTCCGTCTGTCCATTTTAATTTGTAATCAAGCTACAGGTCGTAATTATGGCCTGATCCTCACGAAACTCAAAATGGAGGTGGGGTTAGGTTCAGAATGGAAGCCTATTGATTTTGGAGATGATCGCAAAATATTAATTGCTAAAATCATGAAAATTAAATATCTTACAGAGAGCGAAGGGAGTATCCGACTTTGTTCAAACTTAAAATGTCGTAATTTGTTTATAAGGCCTAAGTTAGGTGGGAAAGTGGGAAAACTACTTAAAAGTAATAAAAGTCCATAAAATGTGAAAATAAACGCCCGATATATAATAGAACTTGTTATAACGAAATATATGAGTTTTCTCTTTCAAGTCAATAATTAAAAAATTTCGGCCGGGCCGAATTTTGAATACCCTCCACCATTTGGAACGAATTGGGCAATTCTCAAAAACAATAAAATCCGTTAAAAATTCTGTTAAAATCTTAACAAGTAAAAAACATTAAGTTCGGCCGGGCCAAACTTTTAATACCCTCCACCTTAGGGTAAAGGACACATTAGAGCCTATATACAAATTTTTAGACATATTCATGGGAAAATGTGCTAAAAATCATCAAAATACCGAATATCGGGAAATAGGCTATATGGGGCTATACATACAGAGTTTCGCCAAAAGAGCTAGAACCCATTAAGACCAAAAATACCAATTCGCGAAGAAATGTAGCAAAAACCATTAAAATACCAAATATCGGGAGGTACCGTTATATGGGGGCTATACCAAATCGTGGACCTATAAATGCAATGTTTCGCCAAAGGAGCTAGAACTCATTATGAACTACAAATACCAATCTTCAGACAACACCGTGAAAAATGTGACAAAAATCATCAAAATACCAAATATCGGGAGGTATCGTTGTATGGGGGCTATACCAAAACGTGGACCTACATGGCTCATTTTCAATACCAAAAGTCCTGAAGACATAATATACATTTTATGAATCTACTTCAATTTGTTCGGAAGCTAGAGTGATTTCCACAGACGGATAGACGGACGGACATCGCTAAATCGACATAGAATTTTATGCTGATCAAGAATGTATATACTTTGTGGGGTCTAAAATGTATATTTACAAACGGAATGACAAACTTAATATACCCTCCATACTATGGTGGAGGGTATAAAAACTCATAATCAGAGAAGGGAGTAACCGATGTAGTTCGAACATTGCACATCGTAAATATTTATATAAGGACAAACTGTTTTCTTCAAAGTTATACTTCGTCGCAGGGACGTACACAGAAAATCATTTCCAAACAATTTCAGGCCAAAAAAATAAATTTTCCATGTAAAATGTACAAAAAACAAAATCAGAAAACTTATAATTTCGGATCGCACGTCTCTGATCAATCCTTAAAACTTGGAAAAATATATACACATATACATTTGGTTTTCTATTCTTGTTCTATAAGGTAAATTATTGATGGACAGACATCAGATCTTGTTTTGGTAGAAATTTCGGGATGTGTGAGGTTTGAAAATAATCGGATGCCGATTTCGCATTTTATGAG